AATTTTCCAAGTATATATACTGTATGCAGATACCTGTTTCCAAGTAGTAAACTGAGGAAAATAAATGACAGGATATTCTAAGTGTTCTCAACTCTATTTCTTTAAAATAACCTAGATCTATAAGCTCTAGCCCTCTACTAAATCCATAGTGCATTTTGATGAATGGTAAAATCTCACACAAGACATACTATTTGTAAGTGAGCATATTAGCATACAGTTGCCAAAACTCCATTTGTTAAAATGACTAAATATGCCTGTTAAATGTTGCAATTAAAATAGTGTATAATACTTGTATACTGGGGTAAATGACATAGAGACAAATATTTATAATATAATAACACACCAAGTACTCTTATCCTCCTCAAATCCAAATTTTAAATGGTCTCTTAAGCTTTCAAATCAATCTTGAGATGCACCAGTTCTGTATCTGCTGAGATGAGAAATCAAATCTATAATCATAACACACAAGCAAATTCATTCTCATTGCCAATATGGATGTTGGATGTAGTTAATTTCCAGTGATTAACAACTTTTGAGAATCAGAATTCAGACCATTATACTATAAAATGTCTCTTGATAAACCAAATGAATTACTTAGACTTACCAAGAAATTTCAAAACAATTAAGTCAGCTGATTTTTTCCAACACGTAAGAGGGGAACACTATGCTATTAACTCCAACACAATTATGATTGATGAAAATATCACAAGTATATTAACTGACACTTTTGACAAATTTTGCATTCTTCAAATATTTTTTTTGTCTAAAAGCAGTTTCGAAGATATACAACTACTTTTTATCCATAAGACTTGCTTTTTCTTATAAACACATATCTAAACTTATGATAAAATAATATATTTTATTTAGTCTAGAATTTTTCTCTGGAGACATATATTTGCTCTATTCTAGGTAAGTATGAGTAGTCTAGGGATACAGATTTGGGGGTTGATGGAGAGGAAAATACGGTACTAGGTTTACAAGTGGGAGCATATCAAAGGACCTCAGAGTCCCTAATGGACAAAGCTAGAAAATTTAGGCAGCAAAATAAATATTGGATTGATTGTAACCTGAAATTAAAAAAAAAGATTTGTGTGTCCATACTGATCTAAATGGTTGAATAGATAACACTTTTCCTTATCAAAGAATTCTGAAGACTATATAGTACACACTATCCCCACTCCAGGAGGTGAAGCTCAATTCATCTTCCTCTGAGTGTCAGCTGCTGCTGCGGCTAAGTGGCTCAGTCGTGTCCGCCCCTCCGCGACCCCAGGGACTGCAGCCCACCGGGCTCCTCCATCCCTGGGATTCTCCAGGCAAGAGCACTGGAGTGGTGGCCAGCGCCTTCTCCATAAGTGTCAGCTGGATTTAGTCAATTACTTGCAGCAGGGTATGAAAAGGGGGAAAACAGGAACTTCACCGTGGAAAATGAGGCAGACGTCATCTTAGCCTGGTGAGCAGGTGCCAGAATACCATGTACCACTCACATGATAAGAAAGCACTTCACTGGTATAATACTCTGCACAAAATTCACAATCCCCGATCAGGAGAGAGACACCAGACAAAGCCAAAGTGAGAGAAAGTCAACAAAATATCTGATCATTACACCTCAAAACTCTCAAGGTCACAAAAAGTAAGGAAAGAGGGAGAAACTGCCACATTACAGAACACTATAGAAGGCATAACTACTGAATGTAAAGTGATATTCTGGGCTGGATGAAACAGAATTAATAATAATGGGAAAATTAGGGAAATTCAAATAAAAGTTGTAGTTTAGTTAGCAGTATTTTGCCACGGCTAATTTCTTAGTTTTGACAACTGAACCACAACTACGTAAGATGTTAATATAGGGAAAGCTGGGTGAAAGTAAATAAGAAAACTAATATTCTTGTAACTTTCCTGTAACTCTAGAATTACTCCAAACTAAAATTTTCATTATGACCAAACAAAAAAAATACAACATGTATAACATGTGAAAGGCAGTTAAAGCAATCCTTTAAGGGAAATTTATAGTCATAGGCACATTAAAAATGAATATGTTAAACATAAATCCAAGAAATTGGAAAAATACCCAAAGAACAAAGAAAATAACAGGAAAATAGTGGAAATAAATGAAATGGAATACATAAAACTGAAAAGTAAAAAAACTGATGGATAGATAAGTCTAAAAATGAACAACAGACAGACTTCTGGCAAAGTTAAATGAGAAAAAGTATTATTATGGAAAAGGTGACCTAACTACAAATAAAGCTGAGATTTGAAAAGATAGTATCAGCAACCTTCTGCAAATCAATTTGAAAAGTTTTCTAGGAATTTCTCCTTTAAACAACTGCTACACACACATACACAGATAGAAAGCTTAAAGAATCCTATAATTAGTAAAAAAAAAAAAAAAAAAATCATGATAGTACTTTAAATCCTTCCTATACTCTCTCTCTCTCTCTCTCACTTACTCAGCAGGCCCAGATGGTTTTCCAGATGAATTCTACCAAACGTCAAGGACAGTATCACCTTGGTATTAAAACCAAGCAAAGACAGCATGTGGAGAAAAATATAATCAACTGAGCTCCTGTATGAAAATAGACAGGGAAATCTAGATAACATGTTAGTACATCAAGTCTAACAATGTTTAAACAGGTAACAGAGCATGACTGTGCTAATCACATAACCACCAAGCAGCAGACATCACGGTGGGATAATGTGAACATGAGGTTTATTGAGGGAAATTCCTGTGGAGGGTTGAGGTGAGCAAACAGCAGGCAGCAGAGCTTTCAGACTCGTGTGAAAGGAGGGGAGAAAAGAGGAGATGGAGCAAAAAGAACGTCAGACTGCAGTGCTACGCTCAGAAAGTTCTGATAAGGCCACTGAGCAGTCCACTGCATGTCACCCATCACTCCAGCTAGTCGCCCATCAGAGGACCCTCGTGTCCCTCAGGAATGAGCCTGTATCAGTCACCGGCTGAGCCAATAATGCCAGAGCATCTGAAGAGATGAACCGCGCCCGTGGTTAGCATGGCCACAGCTCAAAGGGTAGCGACTGCGGCTGTCACTCAATTATACTCTGCAAAGCAGGAGATCTGAGCCCTGCATTTTCATGGCTGCCGCGGTGACCAAGCTGAGTTTTCTCCAGGAAAACTCCAAAGGTATAATAGAAGGATCTAAAAGTGAAACTCACCACATGCGCTGGACCCAAATCGTGTGTGCCTCTTCCGGTCCCCTCAGCTCTAACGCTGCACAGACGTCACCATCACCATTAGGACCTCAAGAGTCATTTCCCTAATGAGTACCAGGCCCTCCCTTTGGACCGTCATGCAGAACCGAGCCAACCAGACACTTGCCAGGATTCTTGACGTGTGGTTCTAGGTATGAATGAAATGCCATACTGCAGAGCATGGAACCTGGGGTCCTGCGCTGCCGTCAAAGGAACCAGATGATGGAACGCAGATACACGTGTCATCCTCCTGCGTACTGCGAAGGGACACAGCTCACGCTGAATGAATGCAGTTACCTAGAGAACTCCCTGGTCTCCTTCCTGGCTGCTCGTGAAAGGATCAACATGGTAATCCAGTCCTTCACAGAGCTCCCCATCTTCCCCTGCCTCCAGCTTCCTGCTCTCTCACTACCCTGGGTTTGCATGTCCCAAATAAAGTATCAACATTTAGTCATGCAGAACCGAGCCAACCAGACACTTGCCAGGATTCTTGACGTGTGGTTCTAGGTATGAATGAAATGCCATACTGCAGAGCATGGAACCTGGGGTCCTGCGCTGCCGTCAAAGGAACCAGATGATGGAATGCAGATACACGTGTCATCCTCCTGCGTACTGCGTAGGGACACAGTACTGCTGAATGAACGCAGTTACCTAGAGAACTCCCCGGTCTCCTTCCTGGCTGCTCGTGAAAGGATCAACATGGTAATCCAGTCCTTCACAGAGCTCCCCATCTTCCCCTGCCTCCAGCTTCCTGCTCTCTCACTACCCTGGGTTTGCATGTCCCAAATAAAGTATCAACATTTTAATACTTGCTTCAGGTTCTGTTTCCTAGAGAACCCAGGTCAGTACAGCACATTAAAAGATTGAAGTTGAAAATCCCATCTGAATATATAAAGAAAAACTTGATAGCATACAAAATCATCTAAAAATCTCATTAAATGAGTAAAACTTTTTTTAATGTGACAAAGCATGTATCTGAAAAAGCCATTCTAGTTCTTAGAAATTAAGAATTAGAAACACTACCTTTAAAATCCATCATGAGAATCACCAAATGTGACAATATATTGTGGCAGTCAGTAAGAATTTACTAATGAGGCTGTTTACCAAGCTACGGGCAGGGTTAAGGGGAACTACCAAGGATGCTGCTGCACCCGCACAGCTAGCGACAGAGAAGAAAATACTCACTGCCTTAGGCTGAAGGAGCAATTCACCAGCTCTAGAGAGACTGGGGTCTGCTGGACATGCGTGCGTGCATGCGTGCTTGCTAGCTTAGTCGCTCAGTTGTGCCCGACTCTTTGCGACCCTTTGGACTGTAGCCCGCCAGGCTCCTCTGTTCATGGGATTATCCAGGCAGAATGCTGGAGTGGGTTGCCATTTTCTCCTCCAGGGGATCTTCCTGACCCAGGGGTTAAACCAGCATCTCCTGTGTCTCCTGCATTGCAGGCAGATTCTTCACCTGCTGACCCACTGGGGAAGCCCCTGCAGGACATGAGCTGTGGCCTTTCATAGAGGGGATACAGCCCACCCTCCACAACCTGGTAGATTTGTGGGTGTGTGTTAACAAAAGCTTCAAAGTTCTTTCTAGCATACCTATCGTGGGCTGACCAATGTCCCCACAAAGTTCACGTCTACCATGAGTCTTTATTTGGAAATAGAGTCTCTGCAGATGTAATTAAAGTAAGGATTACAACAAGATCATGTAGGATTAGGTTATGTCCTAAACGCAGATACAGGAAAGGACACAGGGAAGAAGTCTATGAGAAGATAGAGGCAGAGACTGGAGTTTTACTCACAAGCCAAGGAACACGAGCAGTCACCAGAAGCTGGAAGAGGCAGGACAGGATTCTTCCCTAGAGGTTCTGAAGGAGTGTGGTCTTGTAGAAACCTTCATTTCAGACTTCTACCCGATTGTGAGAGAATGTCTGTTATTGTAAGCCACCATGTGGTAATTTGTTATAGGAGCCCTAGGAAACAAACCCAAATTTAGAGAGAAACCACTTATCTCCTTTTTTTTCTTGACTAAGGAGTAGTCGAAAAGAAATGCAAACATAAACAATGGAACTGACTCTACAATAAAAATGGAGCTCACACAACTATATCCTTAATGGAAAGAAACCACCCAAGCTCTCTGACACATTCTCCCTTAGGAAACTATACACACACGTACACACACTCATTTTAATTAACAGATGTAAACACTGGAATGGAACGTTTAGAAGGTTAAAAGACTTCAGCCCAGGTACCTAAAAAGAACTGCACAAAGCTTAAAGTCTACCCTTGGCTAATAACTCAGACTAAGAAAATAAGGATAGAGTAAAAAATACCCGACCTTCAAAGAGTTCCCTGATGCAAGGTGGTATCCTGTGATTGTGATAGTATCACAGGTCTTAGATTAAAAAAAAAAATATTGAGACTGCATCACACACATACCAGTTAGAGCACTCTGATTAATCACTGAGCAAAATACAGAACTGTTACAGTAAATATGTAATATATATCACAGTCTAAGAAGGAGTGGGGGTTCAAAAATAGCACACAAATGACTAAAATGTAAAGTCCAATCTAAAATAAAACAGTTCAAAGAAAAGAAAGCCTTCACTTTTTGGGCTGGCCAAAACGTTCATTTGGGTTTTTCACCCAAATGAACATTTTGACCAACCCAACACATTTAATCCATACCTTCTTGAAAGTAATACCCAGAACATGTATACAATAAAATAAATACACACAAAAAATAATATAAATGAAATAATAAGGTAAAATGGGATTACAGTTCTAAGAAAACAAAATAAGCATGAAAATTCTGAGAGAGAATAAGAATATAGAACCAACTAAACACAAAAGGTAGAGAAGGAAATGGCAAACCACTCCAGCATTGTTGCCTGGAAAATCCCATGGACAGAGGAACATGGTGGGCTGCAGTCCATGGGGTTGCAAAGAATTGGGCTTGACTGAGCAACTCTCACTCTCTCACACACACACACACACACACACACACACACTAATACAAAAGGGGCTTCCCCGGTGGCTCAGGGGTAAAGAATTTGCCTGCGATTTAATGGTCACAGGAGATGCGAGTTCAATCCCTGGGTCGGGGAGATCTGTTGGAGAAGAGCATGGCAGTCCACTCCAGTGGATTCTGTCCTGGAGAATCCCATGGACAGAGGGGCCTGGCAGGCTAAGAGTCAGGCATGAATGAAGTGACTTCACACGCACACACACAAATACAAAAGAGATGCCACTGAAAGTCAATTATTATTATTATTATTATTTTTAAACCCACCACCCTCACGCCTTGTGTCAGGATGGAAATTAGACACTGAAGAGACTGGCAAACAGAGGAAGCCAAAATAAACAAAGCAGCAGGAACCGCTCTGGAAGTGACAGGGGCAACAGATGAAAACCCTGTAGTTAGCATTGACTAAGCATTGGAAGGGCCTATAGACCTTGAGAAGAAGGATAAGCTGGATCTGAAACTGAACTGGCCCCACACTGCCCTCAACTACTCCAGAGAAATTCTTAGATGTATATTTACTGTTATCATTTTAAAAATTTTTTATTTTGCAGTTCTTTATTACTCCTTGAACTTTCATTTTTATAACCTATTATTACCTTGCCAAAAAAAAGAGACCCTATTTTAAAGCAAATTTCACATATATATTTTTTATAATTTTTGTGATTGATTTTGTTTT